TTCCAAACAATCATTTACATCCAATTTTAGGTGTTGGTTTGTGGGGATTTGATTGATTTACAGTATTTCACCATGAGCTGACATCAGCTGGACAACCATTGGAAAACCTGAGAGCACTGGAAAGCTGTTTCGTCCTAGTTTGGGACTCTTCACTGTACGCAGCCATCAGGATTCGAACCCAGGACCTTCTGGGAACAAGGCAGGCTCGTAGACCATTGATCCACTGAGACACGACCCAACGGTCCTTGAATCCTAACTTCTGCCAATTCACGACATAATGCGACCCGTAGCCAATGTCTTCGGCGAGTATTTGTCCTCACACTCAACCTGCTGCACCCTACAGCTGTCCAGTACTCCCAGGTTTTCCAATGGTTCTCTAACTGATGTCAGCTCATGATGAAATCCTACATCCAGTTTTTTAGTCCATTATTTTTAATCATCTCCGTTCAACAGTTTGTGAAATTTTTATTCGCTCAGTCATTCCAATCATCGTCATTACCTTTCGCTGTTTCGCACTGTATACCCCTTCACTTTTTCTCTACCAAGCAAAACGACCAATCGAAGAACATATGTCTGAATAAATATCCACAAGGTCCAAAATTCACACACCAAATGTATTGTAGATTGAACCGGTTGATCACTACTCTCAAGATTTTTCGAAGCTGTGGAAGACAGGTGGTTGGGGTGAAAACACAGGAATCCATCAGATATCCTATACAATGTTTTATAACTGAGAGACACAGACAGAGGTCCATGTTATCTCATAGAACAGATCCTATACGCCCTCAGATATTGACTGGTAATAATTTCTGATGTTTAGTTTGCAGACTGACTGAGAAAGGCAGTAAAGTCTTCTAACAGTAAATAGTTGGGGGACATTATCAGTATACGGCATTCTTCATCTAATATTCGATTCTGACCCTGACTGCTTCATTCGGCTTGTTAAGCTGAATGATCTTGGTCAAACATCCACGCCACTTAGGAATCTGTCATACTGCGTTTGATCTTTTGTACAGGAATGTATATGATACTATAGGATAAAGTATGGCAAGCGGAGAAAACAATCAAGGAGTCATTTAGATAAAAAAATTCATAGAAAGCAAGTCGATTGAGACATAATAAATTTACACCACGGCAATATGTTTAAGTTTTGGAAGAGTCTCCTTGTTTGTCACTCGAGATCTAAATTTTATTAGAATCCACTGCATTACCATAAAATCATCGAAATGATTTTACATCACGCATGAGCTGAGTTCAACTTTAGACACGCAGAGGGCTCAAAGGCCATAATGGACCTGATTTAATGGTGGCACTAGAAGAAAACCTGGACCAATAGCTCAGATCTAAATCTAATCTTTCCGTAACCTAACTATAACCTATTGCTCGCCAAAATCTAATCTATCTCTAACCAATCCGGAAACCCCCTAACTGTGGTGAAACCAATTATTAATTGTTCCTAACATAAAGTTGAGCGTAATATTTCTCTGACAAAACCTAAAAGTAGACGTATATTCAGTTTAACATCATTGTAAATCTGAAAAGTTTATTTTGAATAACACTTGATGAAAAAGTACTAATAATTGGAAGACGTTTTAGGCACACTTTGTAGTGTTCATAATTACACTTCTTTTGGTCCTCCCATCCTCTATCTCATTTTCGCCACCATTTAGATTCCTTATTGATTTTTAGGATGGTAATATTAAACACAATCATTTGTCGACTTATAATAACGATCAAAAGATTTCTGCAGATCACAAAAATGCTGCACCCAGACAGCAGACTTTCCTCTCTGACTCATCTTGCATTACAACTGTAGATTATTATCTTCATGCCAATAATTAAATCCTATTATTAACTGCACAGAACTAGTAAATGTAGAAAATTTATGATGCGATCAAAATATGCAGGATGTTTAATTCCTAACCTCGCTTACTCATTTCATGGAGATTTTCATTCTCTTCGTGTTTGTTTTTCCCTTCATTTTGATTAGATCAAGATTACTCAATTTCAGTAGAACATTTAAACCAAAACGATTTCTTTATTCCTTTAGTTTCCCAGTGGAACATAAGGCTTCAGGCTAGAGCCAGCTTGAAGTTTCGGTAGCATTGGTGGTTTTTTTACAAGATGAGGTTTTTAGCCCCATACCCATCCTTCTCTTTTCACCAGACTTACTACTGGCTTACCGAGGTAATGGAGCGCTTCGGCAGAAGATTAAACCCCGAACTATACACATGGTTGGCGAGCACTCTACGCCTCTGTCACTGACGCAAACTCAGAGGAGAAAGAATAACTTTTCGGCTAAAATTGTCATAGTAATAATAATACTTCTTTACACGTTTAACTGCACACGACTACTGTCCTGAGCCGCTAGCAATCAATTTATGGCACACGATCATAATTTACTTTACTTTCTTTTTCTTCCCCTACAGTTATTCATTTTAATTTTACATATATCTCATTTATGCATTGCGTCATTTCCATTCTACTTACTTGGTGTTGATTTGGTGAACAAAGTTTCAGTGATATACCCTTCTCTTGACACCTAACTATATTGATTCTTTTATTACTTTCTGAACAAATAAAATTCATCAAACCCGATAGTGAAAAGAACAAAACACGTCAAGTTGATAGTCAGTTGACTCGCGTCTCAAAGAAAATGAAGATAAATATATATGAACGCATCCAACCGGTAGGCTCCATAATACCTTGTTTGTATGGATTACCGAAAATTCACAAGACAGGGGTACCCCACCGTCCATTTCTCGATATGGCGGGTTCTCCTTATCACGGAGTTGCTCAATGGCTAGCTGAAATACTGGAACCAGTCAGAAGGCAAGTATCTAAGTTTTCCATTGATGATACGTTTAAATTTAGTGATAGCACTAACGATTTTAATGTCTAAGACGAAGTCGTGTTCTCATTGGATGTGAATTCGCTATTTATCGATGTACCTCTCATGAAAACTGTTTGCTATTTATGTGATTATATTGATACACATAGTTTAGAAATAGGGTTGCCAACAATCGACCTCAAAGAGCTTGTATTAAGACGCATGTTGAATGTTCAGTTCACCTTCAATAATTAGGGTTTTAGATAGATAAATGGCAATTCTATGGGATCACCACTGGGTTCGTTGCCGGTTGATTGTTTTATAGCAAAATTTGAAAACTCTCAACTTAGTCAAACCATCGATCATTCCAACATTTATAAAAGATACTTAGAAAACGCTATCGTTATCTGCGATAATAACGTAATTCTTTATGATGTCTTGTGTGCTTTCAAAAACTGTCATGCTTCTTTAAAATTCACCATAGAAAAGGAATCTGAACTAAGTAACTCGTTCCTTGATGTGTGCCTCAGTAGACATAACGACGAATATATCGAAAGATCTATCCACCGGAAACGAACATGGGATGGACAACTAACTAATTTTTATAGTTATGTGCCTATCTCCCCTCTATCTCCAGGAAAATGAACCTAATTCATTCTCTCTGCTTTAAGATGAGAAAAATTTGCAGTTCTGATAGCGTTGACTCAGAAATTGACTTCTTAAAACCCAGGCTTACAGAAAACGGTAACCCTAACCGATTTATTGACAGCAACATGAAAGATAAGCAGTCCAAACTGGTCACCGACTCACTTCCAAATAAAACCTTACTCAGAAGACAATTGCAGCAAAGAAAATTTTCTTTTCGACGAAGTCATCATCTAGGCTGTACATTCGTGTATTTATATCAAATGGATGGGAAAGTTTCAGAATAATTTCCGGTTAAGGTTCAAATTGTCTTCTTAATTAAACATTATTCATGAACTTGGCATTCACAGGTGATAAAGCTTAAGGTATGCTGAAAAATCGGCTCTCTAAAGCAGTCAGTATGACCTTCTTTGCAGCAAAATTACATATGACCTTCATTTGCCGCAAGTTGTTCTCCATCTCAGTAAAAGATAAGCTCCTCCATCTGGCCACCTCTATGTGCATCTACCAGTTCACCTGCTCTTGTGGAACAAGGTACATTGGCCGTAGTCAGAGGACGCTTTCCACACGGATACGAAGACATATTCCAGCAGCATGATTTTTCAAGGGAGAAAGGAAGTGTGTGCAAAGCTCTATTCTGGAACACCTGATCAACTTCTGTCACTCTGTCAACCATGACCACGATTTTAAGATCATATACAGAATTCATGCTAACTTGCTGCGTTTTTTCGTTATAGACGTCTAAACACAGCTGAGGCCTTGGCAATTCATGACTTTAAGCCAGACTTTTGTGTACAAAGAAGTGTGTACAATCCCTACTTCTGCCTTGGCTGTAGAGGGATAGACATTTATTTACCTTGTTTATTTAGTTATTCTATGTACCTTTTCCTTATTACTACGACTATTATTATTACTATTCTCACTCTGAATTGTTTCCGCTTGTCCCACTTGTCATTCTTAATTCTAAATTATTATTTTTTTATTTTTACAATGTTGAATTCTATCTTATCAAATTTCACACCATATTATGTAACATTTTATATTCGTCAACTAATCCTTTAATTATGTACCCCTTTCCAACATCTATACACCTTATGTATCATTTCATATATTTTTTAACTCATGGAAAAATTCTCATTGTTATTAATGGAGAATCAAAACAAGTGATTCAGCGAAGAGACTCTTTTCAACCAATTTATCATCAAGCTGTACAATCGTATATATTTGGTTTTTAAGAAGTTACATCCGGTGAGGGAATTGAATCTTAGGTATGAATGCATAAAATAATAATAGTATGAAATGCAATTTAAACTAAAATGTTTGTGATTATAATCATAGTTAAATGTCAAGTGGCAAAACAAATTATTGTCATATATAAAATAATGCATAGGATGGATAGAACTTGAAAAAAGATGTGCAATTATAGTGTGGTGAGAGCAGGCTGCTAGCCGATTGGTTGGCACTAATCTACGTTAAGGTCTAGGTCACTAATATGGGCCGTGAGAAAATATGAACAAGCCTGAGTAAACAACCAATCAGAAGCCTGCGTTTGTCTACCTAAACAACCAATCAGATGACTGCGCTTGTCTATAATAATGTAGTTGAAAGATGTATAAATACGTGTTGATTTTCATAATAAAACGATCTGTTGCCAGCCCTTGTCTTCTGTTGTTACATTTGGTGTCGCTGCCTACCGACAAATGAAAAGCCTATACCCTGCAGTTTTTGATGGAGACATATGGATCTTCGGGCAGGACTTCAAGGCTTCTGCGCAGTTGAGTGGCGTTCAAGATCTGTCAGCGATGGAGCTGCTACTTGAGACGCTGCTGGGAGGTCGGGCGAAAGCAGCATATGAAGGTGTGGGCCGAAGTATGGACGAATGTTCGACAGGGTCAGGCAAACAGTTTCCAAAGTGGGAAGGACCATATATGGTCACGTCGAGATGGGGTTACGCAGACACAGTCGCAATGGCGAACAATGAGAGGCGCGTGAACGTCAGCGAGCTCCAGAAATGGATACAGCGAGACAAGCCAACGATGACGCCTGCGCCAAGTAGATCAAGCCGACTTCAGTCGCACGTATTTGACGGGGGGACGAGTGTGGTGAGAGCAGGCTGCTAGCCGATTGGTTGGCACTAATCTACGTTAAGGTCTAGGTCACTAATATGGGCCGTGAGAAAATATGAACAAGCCTGAGTAAACAACCAATCAGAAGCCTGCGTTTGTCTACCTAAACAACCAATCAGATGACTGCGCTTGTCTATAATAATGTAGTTGAAAGATGTATAAATACGTGTTGATTTTCATAATAAAACGATCTGTTGCCAGCCCTTGTCTTCTGTTGTTACAATAGGATTAGTAGACAAATCAAATCAAATAAAAACGTTACCTAATATTGTGTGAAATTTGATAGCATAATATTTAACTTTGTAAAAAAAGAATTGATTTAGAATGACAAGTGGAACATGTGAAATAATGGCGGGGACAGTCCGAAGTGAGAGTAGTATTAGCAACACTTGTCACAACAAGTAAGAGACTACAAATTGAATAGGCACAGTGAAAAAATTAAAAATTGCTAGAGCTAAAATAGGATTGACGTTTGCCATACTTTGGCATAGAGGGATTAAGACAATGAAAGTTAGAGGGGTTGGACGAACTTTTTCTGTACACAGAGATCTGGCGTTTCTATTTCGATAGCCGAAGCTTCAGCAATACAGATGGGTCGGGTACGCAGGGATTTGGGTAGATTGCTCTTTGCCTTGTAGATGACTTTAAAGGTGGAGGCTATAGAGATAGGGTGATCATTATCGACCAGATGTTCAATGTTCGCGCTTCTTATCGCTCCACTTCCACCTTTTCGTAGTCATGCAGGATAGAGTGCTTGCACCCTCTTGGACAAAACTCGAGTTGAACGACCGATATACCTAGCTATGATTATAATCACAAACATTTTAGTTTTAACTGTATTTTATACAATTATTATTTCTGATGTTCACACTTTTGATCTAATTCTTTCACCAGATATAATTTCTCAAATACCATATATATATATACATATATACGATTGTACAGCTTGATAATAAATTCGTTGAAAAGAGTCTCTTTGCTGAATATTGTGTTTGTAATACTTTTCCTTTATAGTATTATTAATAATATATTTCAAACGCTTGATTCTCTTGACAAATTTCTAAAAAGCAAGAAAGACCAAATCTGCAGGATATCATATTATTCCGTTTCACGGGTTCACAACAGCTGCTAACTACCTGAAATTACAATGGTCATTTTTTTCCTCCATGTTCCCGGTGGAATATAAGGCCTCAGGCTAGTGGCTTGAAGTTTCTGCAGCAGTGTTTAATTTTACAGGATGGGGTTGTTAGGTATATGCCCAACCTTTCATCTTTACCAGCATTACTTCGAGCTTAGCGAGGTGAGTGGGTGCGCCGGCCGGCGATCGAATCCCGGGCCATGTGCATGGTTGGTGAGCGTCCTAAACGCTGTGCCGCCGACGCACACAATGGTCATAAAAGAATGGAAATTACATACTTCATTGTTTGAATGGTAGCAAAGGAAATGATATAAAACTAACGCGTTTGAGTTGTAGGCATTACAGTTTCTATTTTGGGCTACCATCAATTTATATAGTGTCAAAGTAGAAAAGGAGGAAGAGGGGAGATAGGAGAAGACAGAGAACAAAAGAATCTAATAAATAAACACTGTTGGCTTACAAGTTCAAGTAAAAGCTCAAGGGGGTTATAAATTCATAAGATTAAAGTTTGCTGAAATCAGCTGTTTGGATGACTTGTCAATGTAATTAAAATGTAGTTACCAAAGGAGTGAGAGACTGATTGCACTGTGTTTCCGTATTCATAAGTTTGCTTTGGAAAGTTTGTCTGCAAGTGCTTCAGTAAATTGTAGTAAATTTAATGCCCTATGTATATATTTGTTATTTCGAAAGATTTGGATTTTTCAACGTAATGTCCCGTTACTTCAAGATGTCTGGTGACTGCAGTTTGCGGATATCTGCTTCCTTTTAGGCATAATTTTCTTACGATGTATTCAAAAAACCTAATAGAAACCTTCATTTCTTTCCATGCAATCTTCTTATTACCGCATATATCATGATCTTGTAAGTAGATGTCTTGCAGAACTGGAACAGAAGCATAACTCATTGTATGCCTGAATTACATCTTTGTTGTTCTGCTATTTTGAAACGTTTATATTAAAATAGATTTATTTGACACTTGTCGCTTGAAACTTCAGAACATTTTCATAAGTATCACGAACTACTCCAATTTGATCAACTACCATTTGACATGAAAGCAACCGCCATCACCCCTCAGCAGTTGAATGATGATATTTATCGGAAATACATGAGCGAGTGAATGTCTTGATGATTTATTCCTGGTCACACCATCTACAGATGATACTCAGTGCAGGACCAGAAAACAGCTTCAAAACCATGAAGATAGAGAAGTTTGGCTTCGTCCTTTGTAATCCCAGCTCCTTTTACATTCAGCAGCATACTCGAGATTCGACTTCGACTCTTACTGTCACCAGCCAAAAGCGTAAAACATTCACGTAACCACAGTTATTGCAAATGACAGATACCTAAATAATAATACAGTGGATTTCCGAAGAGTTAACAATCTTCTCAAATTGATGACCAACAGAAGAGCTTTGTGCTGATTTGCGACAGCTTTACTACGAATGCTATTTCATTATATCAACTTTCAGCGAAGGATATCTTAAATACATTTCGTGACTAAAATGCAGCATGTCAGTATTGCTGTCGTTATTATCTCAGTCCCATCCAAATAACATCGTGTTAACACGAAGATATCATTGAACAGCCCATACCAGCGGTTGAAATGTCAACAAAGACAAACACCTTGGTCTCACTCGACCAGCATTTGGAATAGCGATTTCAGTGAAACACCAACTAACAGGTGGTTCCCATGGCTTAGGTGTGAACGTTCAGCCTTTTGATTAGTTGGATCCCTAGTTTATGTCTCAGTGGGAAGACTATAACTCGCTGAGACTACAGGTATATTCAGCTGACCAGTCTTGAAAAGGCTGAAGTGCACCTATGTATTCTAGTGCAGGCTACCATTCATCAATTCCATATTAGTTTGTTTATTGGATGCATCACACAGTGAAACAATATTATTTACTGTATGACGTTTCGAACAAAATGTATTGTTAATAATCATATCATCAAATATATTCACACGGATTCGAAACTTGAGTTTAATAGTTTTCTTTGTCTCCTCCTATTTGTTGTCGTCGGGGTAGTAGAATTTTCCAGATATCTGGGTAGAGAGATGTTGAATCATTCCTATTACACGTATTTGCAGTTGATTCGATAAACAAAGCTTCTGCTGTCATCAATCTCTCCCTCCATCCTGTGACATTAGATCTTAAAACAGTCATCCTATCTCATCTTAGTGCATAGTTGTGTGTAATTGCAAATAGTGAGTGTTAAAGCTGAACTTACCTCTACATTTCTTATATTGTTCGGGCCAACGAATCTACATTTTACTAGATTTTTACGCTCGGCCAGTCTGGTTAACTGCTCCTGTTCTACTGCTGTAACGTATTTATTTGACCTGACAATTACTGCAAGCAAGGCATTAGATGAACTAAATTGTTTTACTTTATTGACTCCACTGTTAGGATTCTTTAACTGACAAAGATTGTTTCTAATTGAGTTTGTGGTTGGCTTGAATTCCAGCCACTTTATTCCTGCCTTGTTAAGAATTCTGTGTAAGGTTTCCGAGGTTCCTTCCTTGTATGGAATTACTACTGATGATTTAGATTCCTTATTGTTGGTGTTGTCTTGCACATATTTGACAGGCATGTTGTCATTAATATTATTCTTACTATCACTATCGCTACTCTTATTATTTATTTTATTTTCACATTCCCTTACATATCTTCCGACTAATTTATCCGGGTTATTATTAAGTTTCAAGGCTTCTTTTATGTGTATCACTTGTCGTCTTAGATTTTCCTTGGTACTACTTAGTCTTGTGTTCTGTCACTTAACCATTTCACCAATCCTATTTTAACTGACATTAGAATGGGATGATCAAATGTCCAAATATCTGTTTGAATGTGTGGGTTTTCTGTGAACACTGCTGTTTAACTTCCCATCATCTTTCTTTTTTACACTGCAATCTAACATTGGCAGTTCCTCCTACTGACTTTTTTAGTTCATAAGTGAATTTAATTGCCGCAACCTTTGGTTTATTGTGTTCGAAAAATCATTCTATATCCTGTGTTTTAAGTGCAGTGAATGTGTCATCTACATGCCTCCCCCATACTTCGATGTGGGGTGGGGGTGAACATTTTAATTCCTATGTTTTCCCGCCTATCCACCTATCATAAGTCTGTAAAATACCTTCTAATGTGCTGATTTTTAATAAGACTTGAATGTTCGTGTAACCGAAGAGACATGACATGAGTGTGAAATCACTTACAGTATCTTTGCATCAACTGAAGCAAGAATGTTTCACATTCAGCGAGTGATATAACAAATAACAAGATGTTTTAAATAATATCATTTTAAAGTCTCTTCAGAGTGTATGAAAATTACAACAGGCTCTGATCTTTCATATTCCAAAACTGATTTTTAAAATCCGCATTTAATAATATACACTTCGTCATAACAAAATTGTTTTAACTGACTAATGGGCAAACATTTCACACAGAAAGTTTTAATTTTCCGAAAATTCAAACGAAGAAAATGCTGAAAGCGCAGCAACGCAAACAAATATTTTATAGTTAAATAATAAATTAATAATTATGTAAATAGAAATTGATATATTTTTCTCTTTACAAATGTCAGGAACATTTATCACTCAAGTGTTATAATGAGCTAATTTATTATTCTCTTATTTTTTCTGATGAGTTCATCTCATATTATGAAGCCAATGATGATGTTCGCTTTTATCTAATAAAAAATAACGGAAAGACATTTTCATTAACTTAACACTTATATACTCTATCAAATATTTTTGCTTTGAAGGACTTATATTAGCATGGAAAGACTGTTTATAATCTAAGCAAGTGGTATGAAGTATTATAGACTTTAGAATTTATGACCTGTTTACCAGTATATATTTGTTGAATTATAGGTCGATTCCACACCGTATTTTTGGTACAAGGTTGGAATTTTTAGCATGTCATATGAGTAGCCCGAATTTTGCAGGCCGACCATTGATATCAGGTGTGCGTCATTGGGGTATGGAACCCCGGACCATGTTTATGTACGAAGAGAGTCCTAACCGCTGTGCCACCGACACCTATGAATTTGAGTAA